GACTGAGCTGTCTATGATGGGTACACTGCTTTTACTTCCTAGGTAAGCACCAACTTGCTCAGAGCAGATGAGAACTAACTACTGTAGGCCAAGATGAGGGAGCCACAGACAGGCCTATCAGATACTGCAGATGTAATCTGGGGGTTAAGTCAGCAATTCTCTCTTCCTGGATATAGACTGAAGAGTTTTGATCAGGTGTGCTGATCCAAATTCCCTAGTGGGAGGTTATTTTTTCTTTAGTGGTTAACCCTACATCCCCTAGATTAGTGGAAAGACAGTATCCTTCATTCCTTCATATTTAGAATTCAGGCATATGAGCTAAATATGGATTGAAATATGGATTGTTTTACTTTGAATTAAAAAACATTTTATTTATTTCAAACCCAAAACTTAAATAGATCCATATGATGTTTTAGAGTCTTAACACATGAGCTGATTTGCTTGACTGACTTGTTTTAGAATTGAAAACACTAAAAACAAGACTTTTTGGGGGCAGGAGTCCAGTTTTTCAAAAATAATGGCTCCATACAACCTTCTTACATATTGTCTGTTACTCTACAACACGAGTCTTCAGCTCACTCAGACTGGTTTTGCCTAGCCGACTGTTCAGCTTCTCACTGGCCCAGTCGCTGAGCCCTTCCTCGTACTCGTCCTCTCCTGCCCTCAGCCATTCTCTTGTTTTCTGCTTATCCTAATCAGATTCAGTCTCTAAGGCCTGAGGGAAACTCAGCTTCTTTAAGAAGCCTTACCTGAGTATTTCAACACTACCTGATCTCTCTTTACAGAACACTCCTATACTTACTCAGCAATATTTATATATACCATAAAACTCAGCGTGTAATTACATTGTCTTATATGATTTTTTAGATTTTTCCATGTGTATTATTCTTAACTATCCATGAAGATGGTAAACTTCTTGAAGGCAAAGTTAGTCTTAAAACATACCTTCAAACAAATATGAAGTGTTTTATCTCTCACCCCCAATTACTATAATCTAATTTCAAGTTGTTTCAATGTGCACACTTGTGCTGCCTAATGGTAAAAGTAATTATTGCATAATTACAACTCATTAGTTGTCTTACAAAACATATATCAAAACCAAATAATGGTTGGACCAAATCATTATTTATCTAAAAATTTTTTAAAAAACTATTATTGTTAAAAATGATAAATCACCAGAGATTATAATAAATATAACTAATTTTTGGTGCAATGAGTTAAAAGTTTACTATTGCTATGCAATTAAAAAAAAACTTTTTCATGTAAAAGCCTCTTTCCTCTAAGTTAGCAACTTCCTTTGGGGTTTGGGTTAATCTAGTACTGAAAAAATTATATAATCACATATTGAAATGCCCTGTGATTAGAGGTACATATGAAATAAATCATCCATGACAGGTATCAATCAATGTAATATATAATGCTCTGAGAAGATGATTCTAGGATACTACGTTTGCCTAACTTTTCAGATAAAAGAAAACAATATTCAACTCAATGAATACTGATTCTCTATTATGTGCAGGACATTCCATATCCTTAAGGTTATGATCTAGTGACAGTATAAAGCAAGTACAGATCATGGAAATTGAGGTTCTCAGGGTAAACCTTCTGCAATTATTACAGGAACAACACATCTGCATAAAGCTATATAATAGGTGTTATATTTCAGGATAAGTGTGTATTTTCTAAATGTTATTCATCTTGATAAAATATATTCTAAACAGAGGAACAGAAATTACTTTCCTTGTTTTGCATTTTCTCTTGTTCATTGCTTCCTGGTAAGACTTTTTATCTTTATCTTCTTGATGTCCTAAACTTCTTATTTTCTCCTTTCTGCTATTAGATGTGAGCAACACTGAATTCAGTTACACGTGTGACAGTAAAGATGCTATGTAATGAGAACTGGTTTTAATACATGGTCTCCAGGATTCCATTTGTATATTTATTTATAATGGTCATTTGTTTTAACAGCAAGCTTCTTTTTCAAGTTGATTATCAAAAGCAGATCTCAGGGGCCGAAGATCAGAAAACTGTGCTGGGCCCTTTCTGAGTCAGATTCCTTTTCTAAAAGGATACTCTGGCCTAGATGACTTCTAAGATCCTCTTCGTCCCGATTCTTGATGAAACTCTCTTTTTCTGTTCACTTGACTTCTCCATACTCTCCCTCTAAACCCCTGTCCAAATCAGAGCTGCCCTTGACTCCACCCGATGCCTCCTTAAACTGTGCCTGCTCCCCTTGTCATTTCATAATCACCTCCCTCGTGACCACCATCCCTCCATGGTCTGGCCATTCAGCCTCTTTCTTCTATTTAAAAAAATCCTTCTTGAAGAAAACCATCCAGATTGCTATTATTACAAAGGTGCTTTAATTAACTAAAATCACACTAAACACAAAAGGCACCAAGTCACGTAGCAAGAGCACAGCTATTCCAATAACTTTGACAAGGTTCTTCACCTCAATTTCTGCTTCAATTTTGCTCTATTAATAATGGCAACTACCATGTAGGGTTGTTGTGATGAATAATTGACAACACTTAGCATAATGTCTGATAGTCAGCAAATACTCAAGTATTAGCTGCTGTTACTACAATCATCATCACATTTCTTACGATTATAGTGTATAGGTCCCATTCTACTTTTCTAACTGAAGTAAATGGTATCATCTAACTATATTTTTTTGGCTGAAGCAAATGGAATCATCTAACTGTGCTTTCTTTTTTACTGATATAAAGAGGGGGCAATCAATTGCCAGTTGTGGAAGGAAAAATTATATACTGTGGTTGTTGACTAGTACTCTGAGTGATGACTAAGTAATACACATTCCCCAAAGTTATAAATCAGCTTGCTACTAAAATCTGTTCCAGATTTCAGAACAGAGAGCTCTATAGACATACCCTTACCCACTATAAAATAATCTCTCAATTATCCTGCCTACGCTCAGAAAGATCTTTATTAGCAAAAGATGTGTTCCAACAGCATGCTTGTGTTAACAGAGAAATCCAGAAGATGAATGTGTTCCAAGATGTCAGAAACACCTTTAATGAAATCATTAAATACTATAAAATATCAGATTATGTGAGGAAATAAAAAACATATTGTTGAATGAGAAGGGTGAGTCTGAACTGGAAGCCACAGTAAGTGGTACCACATTTAAAAAAAAAAAGAAAAAGTAAAAGAAAAAAAAAAGCATCACTGCTTTAATGTCTTGGTGCCTCCCTGTCCCATTCCATGGGCAAAAAGAATTGCGCTTCTATAGGTAGATGGACACTCACTATTCATATACAATACAACCATCAAGCCCAGGAGTCCATTTCACGTTAGTTTTAACCACAGAATTCCAAAAGCAAACCAAACTAACAGGGACAGCCTTATTGGTTTGTAATGTGATTTTGGATTGACTGTGCATTTCTTTACAATCATGGGTACTTAGCTGTATGGATGCTTCATCTTGGCAGGATTCATTAACTGAGGTTACACTTTCTATCTTAAAACACATTAAACCCTAATGAAACAACAGTGATGCCATTTAGAGAAATAAGTAAAAACTTTATACTTAATGTTCCAAGGTCTTTCATGTTAGGAACAAGCAGTTTTGTGACAATGTAGCAAGTACCAAATGAAGGTGATAATTTGTCACAGATGTCACCATTATACAACATGGCTTGCTAGAAATCAGAGTGAACAGAAACATGCAAACAAGATTTTTCTTCTGCTAGGTGACGCGGCTTTGAATTATTCTATAAAATTAATAACACTTCAGCATGTTTTGGGGTAGTTCCTTTTTCAAATATATTCATATGTGTTATTTATTTGTAGGTACACATGTGTATATGAATCCATAAATATATAAACGTGCAGCTATACTAAAACATACAATTGGCTTTTTGACATAAGAAATGTCAAAACGTAAATATTTAAATGTTGGGTGTGATGTTGTCAGTGGAATCACCTCGTCCTCAGAGGCCCTTCAACAGGCAAAGCTCTAGAAGAAGTGCGAGGTAGTGTAAGCCAAAAAATAGAAAGCAGAAGAATGTGGTTCTACTCCTGAGCTACAAAAATGTACTGAGCATTCTGGATGCCAGTGTGATTTAACTATAAAACGGAGGTAGCAGTACTGTCTTCCTATCAACCATCATCATTTGTTGGAGTGAATGAGATAATGGATGTAAAAGTATTTTTAAGCTATAAAGAATTATAGTATAGGGCCGGCCGAGTGGCGCGATGGTTAAGAGCTGGCTTGGGATGCCAGAGGGCCCCGGTTCGGATCCCACATATGAGGGCCAGTGACACTGCCCTCTACAGCTAAGATGCTGAACAACAGCTCAACCTGGAGCTGGGCTGCCATGAGTCGCCGGCGACGGCGTGGGCTGCAGTCCCTGTGGCAGTGGATTGCCATGGGCTACCGTGTGTGGCCAGCAGCCAGCGTGAGCGGCCAGCAGCCGCAGTGAGCGGCCGTCCAGAAGCCGGCGACTGATCTGCCTCGCCAGAGAAGAGCACAATGATGGTGCCAACTTGGGCCAATGAAGCAACATCCTCCACAACTAGACTGAAGAACAAAATGACAGCAACTTGTCTGTTCCCCTTCCCCCAATTCCCCAGCACTGTTCCCATCCCCCCAATTCCCCAATAAAAATCTTTAAAAAAAAAAAAAAAGAATTATAGTATAAGTAATAAGATACTTTGAAGACAGTTTTGCTGCTTTATGAAACATTTTTAATGTTTCATATAATATCATATAATGATAGTCTAATTGTATATCATTTTCTGTCTATTCCAAAAAAGGGGGGAAATGTGATGTTTTTACCAAGATAGCTTTTATATTTCTAAAGAATACAAAATCAAACATTTCAGTGCATGGGGTCAACTTGGTATAAAAAGAGTGTCTTACTTCTTGAGCTGAAATATGAAAAAGTACTTTGTAAATTATAAAGGGTTATATATAAAGTTTAGCAATTCTTGCCACTTATATAAAAGAGTATATTTTAAGATGGGTGCTTGCTTACCTTCTCTTAGACAGTCTACTACAAAAGTAAAGCCTGTAGTTCTTGGATGTAAGACATATTCATATTTCTGAAGTCCATTCTTTTCAGCAAAATCATTACTTCGAGCCTTGCTGTTTTCTAAACAAAACAACAGACCATTAGAAGCCATAAAATAAAGGAAGATAAAGTGAGGTAAGGAAATAGTGCAGAATTTCTTTTATAAAAGTGGCAGTTAGGGCTGGCCGAGTGGCGCGATGGTTAAGAACTCGCTTGGGATGCCAGAGGGCCCCGGTTCGGATCCCACATATGAGGGCCAGTGACACTGCCCTCTACAGCTAAGATGCTGAACAACAGCTCAACCTGGAGCTGGGCTGCCATGAGTCGCCGGCGACGGCGTGGGCTGCAGTCCCTGTGGCAGTGGATTGCCATGGGCTACCGTGTGTGGCCAGCAGCCAGCGTGAGCGGCCAGCAGCCGCAGTGAGCGGCCGTCCAGAAGCCGGCGACTGATCTGCCTCGCCAGAGAAGAGCACAATGATGGTGCCAACTTGGGCCAATGAAGCAACATCCTCCACAACTAGATTGAAGAACAAAAAACGACAGCAACTTGTCTGTTCCCCTTTCCCCAATTCCCCAGCACTGTTCCCATCCCCCCAATTCCCCAATAAAAAAATCTTTAAAAAAAAAAAAAAAAAAAAAGTGGCAGTTAATTTTTCTGTAATACTGAGTATAATATAGCATACCAAATCAAATGAGAAGATATTGACACTTTAGTAAATCCCTAACAAAGACCCCATTTATCGGAATTTTGGAAATTTTATAATAAGGTATTAATACTTTTTATAATAGTTTATAAATTCATATTCAAATCTTTAAAATTCTTTGATTTCATAAGTCAATATACAAATTCATATTCAAATCTTTAAAATTCTTTGAGAGATTTCATAAAATAGTCACTATACAATGAAAACAAATATAAATCACAAAAAACTAAAATTTTCATGAAAGTCTTTACATAATAAAAATTAAAATACTAAAATATAAGATGCTAATATAATAAAACAGTAATAAAACATAAGGATTCAGACATCCAAAATAAATAACTAGCAATTTGCCATATATATCAGATCAACATTTTTTTTTAACCCAATAATTTAGGGCTTCAATGAAAAGTGAAGTATCTGTCTTGCTCAGACCCAGAGCATGCTAATATTACTAACCCAAACCACTCCACAACAAAATGGGCACAGATTAGCACATCATGTACAAACATCTGAACATGGTTTGGCTGAATATAGTTACAGAGTCAAGTATATGTTCCAATTGTTGGCAAAAACTTCTTTTTCCATCCCATGAGGTAACTTCATAAGTTCCAAGAAGAACCAAACCCATTATTCAGCAAATACATTTGGAAAAAGCGAAGTGTTCAGAATCAGACCTTCTCCTGAGGGAGACCATGAAATGCCTTCTGATGACAGCAGATGTTAGAACCTGCAATCCTCAGCTGCTTCCTGACATTTATAGACTATTCCAAGTCACAAGAAAAAGACCTATATATATAAACACAACTTTCCTAGGAGTAAATTTAAGACCATGGAGTCCTCAAAACCTCAAACAAATACAAATGGATTCAAAATATTCAAAGAACACTCCTATAAAAGGCATTACACTTTTTTTATATAAATGAGGAACTGAGTCAAAGAATTAAATACCCACGATCCCCAGTAAGTCAAAAGTAAAGGCCCTAAACATGAAAAGTAATAAGCATCTTTCACATTCCTTTGAGGCAAATATTCTGGGTTCTGTTTTACTGACAGCTGGCAGGACCTTACATGGGATGAGGAAGCCGACGGACACTTCAAAGATGAGTAGTTAACTACTCTTCAGTTTGCTCTTCTAGTTATTCACTTTTGGGAGCTGAAGACAAAACTGAGCTCTGTTAGAGAATGTGGATATAAGCAGTTCTGAGGGTACAGTTATAACGTGGGAAGGTAGGAATAATCAGAGACACAGAGATTAGCGATGCAGATTATTCCATCTCCACTGCATCCACCCACCCCCAGACTCTGGTTAGTCACTACACAAGCATCCCACTTTCTGACCGCAGCCTCCTGTCTTGTCAGCTCACTCCCTGTAATGCTCCAGTGCCAGCACTCCTTCTACTCCAATGGGTCTACTAGCCACTTTGCTGTTCTCAACCAGGCAGGCATGCTCCCACCTCAGAGCCTGTGCATTTGTCCTGTCCTCTACCCAGAATGCCTTCTACCCCACTATCTGCGTGGTTTTCTGCTTTGTTCATTTAGTTTCTACTTAAATAGAAACTTAAGGGGCTTTCTCGAACCATCTTATATAAAATAGCACCTAGCCACCATTTTCTATTACTCTCTCTCCTTATCTTTATTTTTTTGCACGGGATTTATAAATATCTGGTATATTTTCATTAACGTATTAGTTTTCTATCTAACTTCCCTCATAGAATTTCCAGGCAGTCATATTAAATGAAGAAGTTTTATATAATAACCAACAATAACACATGTAGAATATATATGTAAAGTTGTATTTAAATGCACTAATTTGAAAATGTGCAAGCAAGCTGGATTTAGAACTTAAAGAGGATTATAAAAACGTTCTCTTTGGGCTTAAAAACCCAAATTTAAAGTTAACTATGGTTAACTAAAAACGTCTTTGAATTAACAGATACTTTTTCAAAAATGGAAGTATTCTGGTAGCCTACTTAAAAAAAAACACACACAAACATTTATCCCAACTCGAAACTATCTGTATAATATTGTTTTTCAATAAACAAACTTTGTAAAGCTTCAAGATCAGTCTATTTTCTCTATTTGGCAAACAGTCCGGCTTTGCAACTTGGCCTTAAAAATGTAGATGATATTTTAACTTAAAAAAATACAACTACGTCCTGTAATGGCGAGTACTCTGGACCCTGAAAATATGCAACTACATGTTAAGTTCATCACCTAAAAAAGACACTTGAGAAAAATATAGACTGAAAAAGGCTTTAAATATGTATATTGTGTAGACTCTGAAGGTCTAATGTATGAACATTTTAACATTAATATACCAAAGTAGCAGCAACCTATGAACTTTCACTCCATTAGCATTTTTTTTAATTAAAGTTTATTGGAGTGACAACTATTAGTCAAGTTACATAGATTTTAGGTGTACAACTCTGTAATACATCATCTATATATCACATTGTGTGTTCACCACCCAGAGTCAGCTCTCCTTCCATCACCATATATATGATCCCCTTTACCCTCTTCTACCACTCCCTCCCCCCTTACCCTCTGGTAACCACTCAACTGTTGTCTGTGTCTACGAGTTTTTGTTTCTTCATTTGTTTGTCTTGTTCCTTTGTTGTTTTCAGTTTTATATGCCACATACCAGTGAAATCATGGTTCTCGGCTTTTTCTGTCTGACTTATTTTGCTTAGCATTTTAATTACTAAATAACTTCCAAAGTTCCCATTTTTTAGTGTGCATTTTGGCATTCACAAATGTAAATCAATCTGTCATTTCAGTAAATGACACTCTAATATAGCTGATATTTTAATACCCAAACTTAAAAATTATACATTCTAAGTATCATAAAATTTAAGTATGGCTGTCCATTATAATTTCCCAATGATAGTTTGCTCTGTTAATCAACTTATAAACTTATAACTTACAATATATTTTCAAGCTTAAACAATATGCAGCCAATATTATCCTCAGTGATCTAACTACTTTTAAAATCTTAGCTATAAAAACCAAACGTATACTACACAGTAAGCATACATTTTAGTATATAATACTAGTATATAAAAATCACCATGGTTCATTTAGCTCAGCTCCATCTGTAATGGATGAGTCAAAGATCTCTTCCTTGCTTTTCCCAAATACCTTAACTTCCTTCGTTGACATATTGTGGCTTAGTCACCCATTCACTTACTTAAATGATTTGTATTTTTCATTGAACTTTTTGGGTACTGGTTCCGTAAATTACTATGTCCAGAGAGTGAATTAGGAGTTTCATTTGCATGTTCTCCTCTTCTAAGTTTTCTACAGGTTGCCCCTCTTAGTATGAATAGCTCTTAGTTGCCTCATTCCGGTATTGAGGATTTGGAAGACAAGTTCATGTTCCATACTATGTGTGATTTTTAGATTTCAGTTCTGTCCTGCTTCAGTCTGTCTCCCCTCATACAGCAGACCTTAATCCACTGGATACTTCTCAAACTCTGCTATCTTTCTTGAAGTAACCAGGGTATTAAAAAGTTTTTAAATTTTGCTCTTTTGAGTTGAGGAATTATCTATAGAACTGCTTCCTGGCCAAGCCTACCCACCTCCCACCCCCACCAACATTCAACCAAAGCAGTTCTTCAGTCTGTCTTAAATCCTAAACTGCAATACAGGACTTCACCTACAAAAATGGCCTGAGGTTTAAAAAAATGTGAAAACCACTGATTTAGTAAGGATGAAAGCCTGTATTTGCTTTTAATCTTTTAAAGAATTCCTTGAGATCCACTGGCACTCTTGACCTACATAGTTTGATATCTGGGAAGGTAGAAAATCCTAAATATGTCCTGCTATATCCCCTCTACAACTCAATTATGGCTGAATTCTCTTGAGAAAGGACAAAGCTTTTCCTGCTTATATTAGGGATAAGACTTTAAAATACCAGGAGAAAGGCAACATGTTAACTTACATCAACAATAAAGGAAGTGGGTCACTATCAGATCCTTTTCTTATAAAAAAAGTTGACAAAAAAGGGTCTAACAGAGAAATATGTATTTTGGAAAAGGACAGAGAATATAGAGAACAGAAAGGGGATTTTAAAACTAGGCTTTGTTCTTCTTCCTCAAGACTGCTTTGGCTATTCAGTGTTTTGTGCTTCCATACAAATTATATAAAAGGCTGATAGTTCAAATATATTCAGTATTCAGACTCAAACTATAAAGCTCTAGGATGGCAAATATGAATAATAATGACCTCTTGGGGTTGCCCATCATAAATTCTATGCACTGGAGACCAGGAGTGCTGGGTTCTAATGTGCTACTGATTAACTGAGTGACCTTAGGGGTAGGACATTAATCTTGTTGGTGTTCAGTTACTCCATTTGAGAAATAAGTTTAGACTACATGATTTCTAAGTTCCTTCATGTTTTAAGAGCCTGTGATCCAAACCGAGGCTGTCTTACCTGTGAGATCAGTCCCTTCTGGGAATATGAGGAGCTGAAGTGGTTCACGAATATCACAAAAGTAATTAATCATGTCTTCAAAATGGCTCTTGTCATCCTTCCATTTCCTGTGAATGAAGATATAGGCAGCAGCCTGCATGGCCCAACCTAGGATCAATTTAACAAGTGTTTACATACAATTTTATTGCCAATAACCACATATTATTGAACATAATATTTCAGTTTTTTTACTACGGATAATTTACTATCATTATAAGCATCTCATGATACACCTTAAATTCAGCACTGATCTTGGGTACAACTATGAGAAAATATTCTTAAAGGACTTTGTTAAATTCTGGGGTTTGCAAAATTCTCAAAAGACTCTTCCAAGCCAAACCTAGCTATTAAAATACCAAAGAAAAAAACCAAAAACTTCCCTAATATTTATCAGGAACTCATCCAAAATTTTAACAATCCTAACTACACAGACATTGTAACCAAGCTACCTACAAGAGACACACAACTGTGTTATCAGGTTTGCAGTAAGCAGAGGACCATTCTCAAGTCATGTACACAAGCACACTTTAATAATGCACTTTTTGTACTATTCAGTCTCTAAATTCAACTGCTATTTTTCAATGCTAGCCACTTCAGATTTTATTTAAAAGGGAAAATGTGCAATGGCTATTACACGTTAGTCAGAGTATACACTGTGATCACATCCCTTTCTCTGGGGCAAATCAACCTTGTTACTGAAGACGCAGCCCTAATTGAGCCGTGTTTCACCCAACCAGCCATCCCTCCCTGGCCAGAAATGACTAGAACTGCTGTGGTAAATACCTGACTTAAGGCAGCCAATGTAAAGTCTATTCAATAGTCTCTGAGGCATGAAATGCTTGGCCCAAACATAGTAACTATCTTGGCCAATAAAATGTTCTCAGAAATTTTACTTGGGACCATGGAGAAAACAAGCTGGTAATATAAATGCAAATGAATGGACAAAAAAGCAGATAATAGAGACAGTAGCAGCTGAGGCAAGATAAAGATAGCATATTCTAGTGAAGATCTGAAAAACTCTTGCTGCTGAGGTGCCTGAAGCTAATTTTGACTCAGGACAAGACAGTTTATTCACAAGCGCTGGCCAGTCTATGGACCCACCCCTTGGATATCCACCAGCGTCCTCTCCCTTCCTGCCATGTGTATCTTTACAACAGACTTTCACTATTTCAGCTAGAGGGGATGAGTGGTATAGTTTTTGTGAACAAAACACACAACTAGAACAATAGCTATCATCATTTGGTAAATACGTAGTATCCTGAGAATATATAAAATTGTCATTAAATCACTTGTTAATAATTTTAAAAACTGTAGGACTTTATTTGGTTTGAATAAGTCCAAACTAGAATACTATATTCTACAAATATAAATAAGCACATACCAATAAATCCACTTTAGTGTAGGTCTTGCTGCTATCTATCTAATTACTACTCACCCACTGTACTGTCAGTCATATCTGTGAGTGCTGGACTTGATCCCACTTGAGCCTCCCACATATCTCTTCTCCTTCACCCACAGTGCAGTGGCTGAAGGCTGTGTAACTCTGGAGTGAGACTGCCTGGTTTACAATCATAGCTCCACCACAAACCAGCTATTTAGCCTGAAGCCTTTGTCCCTCATTGACCCCAAATGTAAAAATGAGCATAATGCTGTAACAGTATTTATCTGATAGGGGCTATTATAAGTAAATAAGATTATTTAGCACATAGTATTCAATAAATAGCTATATTATTATGATTAAGAAGTTCTAATAATACAATTATATCAAAGGTATTATATATATCAAGGAACATAAAAATTTAACAAAGTTCCCATCCACAAGAGCAAAACAAAAATGTAAAAAACTAAAAATAAAAAAGAAACCCTGCAGACACATGAAGACAGCTACATAACTGCATAACTGAGAGGAAATGGGGAGACATACAATGTTTCTGAACTGAATCCACATGCTAATGATCTCTAAATTTATAATTTATTAGTTTCATGTAATTACAATAAAAATTCCAATGGCATGAGGGTATGAGGATTTGGCTATGATTCTAAAGATTATCTGTAATAATAAAGAGGTGAGAATCTCCAAGATAATTTTGAAATAGAAGGAAAGATTCACACCATTAAACATACTCATTAAATATATTATGAAGAAACAATGATTAAATCAGTACATCTGTTTTGACAAATAAAAAACAATGCAAGACTTCTCTTTAGAGAAAGGCCCTTAAATATGTTCCGAATTTGGTATATGATAATGACAGAATTTCAAACCACGGGGTAAAGAATGAGCTGGGTGTTTTTGGTTTTTACCTTTTTATCGAGGTATAACAGTAAACTCTGCAGATACTGTGTGTAGGTGTAAATTTAATGCATTGTTACATGTATCTGTGTGGCCAGCATCCAGATTAAGGACTGGAACATTGCCAGCATATCAGAATGCTCCTATGCGCTCCCCTGCCAGTCAATACCCCCCCGCCCCCGCCCCCGCCAAAGACAACCATTATCCTGACTTCTTTAAACATGAATCATATAAATGAAATCACACAGTTGGTATTCTTTTGTCTTTGGCTCCTTTTGCTCAGTATTATGTCAGTGAGATTCATCCTCCTGATCTGCAGCAGTATTTCCTTCTTTGCATTGCTATGAAATCATCAATTACGTTAATATACTACAACTTATTTATACTTCTGATGGGGAGGTTTCTTGGCTATTAGGAATAAGTTAATACAGATACTCTCCTACCTATCTTTTGGTGAACATGAGCATTCAATTCTGTTGAGTGAATACTCAGGAGTGGAGCTGTTGCATCACAGAATTTCTGTGTATCCGGCTTCAGCAGACAGCATGGTTTTCAACGTGATTGTACCAAATGACACTACCATCAGCAATGGATGACTGTTCTATCTACAGCTTGACCAACACTAGGTCTTATGAGTCCTTTTTTTTTTTTAGCTGAGCCATCCTGCCACCTGTTGGCAGTTCAGCAGCTGCTCCGCTTGGGCCATGACTCGAACCGCTGTTGCTCAGAGCTCAAACTCTTGAGCGAGCTCTTAACCAACTGAGCCACTCAGCTGGCCCTTATGAGTCCTTTAAACTAAAATTTTAGCCATGTGATCCAGGTAGAGTTTTCATTTGCATTTCCCTTAGGATTAATGATCTCGAGAACCTTTTCATATGCAAATTAGCCATCTGGATAGCTTCTTTGTGAAGTGCCTCTTCAAACTTTTTGCCCATTTTTCAGTGGGATTGTCTTTTTCTTATTAACTTGTAGGATATAAAGTTTTCATCAAATAAACTCACAGAAAAATTTACTAAATATCTTCTTCAATCTGTAGCTTGCATTTTCTACCCTTAAATACTATCTTGTTATAAACCTAACATCTAGTATTAATGAAGCACAATTTAAAATTTTTTTCATTGTGCTTGGTCCTTTGTGTGTCCTGTTAAAGAAATCTTTGATTACTTAAAAGTCATGAAGACATTATTCCATGTATTCTTCTAGAAGCTTTACCAAGTTCTAACGTTCACATTTTGGTTTATGATCCGTCTCAAATTAACTTCTGAATCGGGTGTGCATAGAGGAGGTTCTTGTTTTCTACATGGATATTCAATTGACAAGAACCACTTATTCAAAAGATCAAGAGATCATTAAATAAAAGATTATGTTATACATAATAAATGAAAATATTGCTATTAAAAGTCAATACAGAAGTATATAGACATGAAAAGTAAAACATGAAAATACTCCTTTATTATCATGTCCTTCAACCCTCTCCCACTAATCGTTAACATCTTTTTTGTAATCATGTTTAACAATTTGATGTGACTTGTTCTATGTTTTAAAAATTCATTACATATATGCTTGGTGTTTTTTTTAAAAGACACATTGAACCATGCTTTATACTGGTCTATGATTTGCTTTTTAAAAATTTGTCTATATATATGGATCTACTTAATTTTCTTAATACCTGCATTGTATTCTCTAATAGTGCTTCTCAAACCAGTTTTCTGGTTTTACTTTCCAAACCATTATTGACCAGTAGTTTTGTAAAATACAGTAAATTAGTAGAAAAATGATCACACTCTTGGAAGTCACAATACTTAAGAAGTTTCCAACTACTCTAGTTCTATACTTACGGTAGACCAGCTTGCTAAATGGCCCTTGTTATATGAATCACACTTTAAATAGCACTGTTCTATAATATAGATATGTCATGATCTAGTACCGTTATCATTTAGGATATACCCAAGCTGAGATTGTGTCTTTACTGGAAACTTGACTCCAGTCATTTTTTGTTTGTTTGTTTTCTTTTCTTTTGCCCAACTTATGTTCCTTGTTTGTTATACTTCCTTATGGTTTCTTGCCCACCTTTCTCCACTTTTCTCCCCTTTTCTATCTTTTGTTAAAATTAAGTTTTCTTTGCCCAGTTCTTTTGTTCTGTAATGCAGAGGTCAACAAACTATGGACCAAATCTATCTTTGTACGGCCCACAAGAAGAACATTTTGTAATATGCAAAAATTATGGGAAATTCAAACTTCAGTGTTTATAAACAAAGCTTGGCTAGGACTCAGCCATACCTATTTGTTTATGTATGTCATCTATGGCTGCTTTGGTGCTGCAGTGACAGAGTGGAATGGGCGCAACAGAGAAGCAGTGACTGCAAGGCATCAAATATTTACTACCTAGCCCTTTATAGAAACAGTCTCCAGACCCCTACTCTAGTGGTGACTTGGAAATTATATACCCTATTTTGTTCTTTTAGTGGCCATCCTTAAAAGCTTTTCACCTTTCCATTTTTGACATTTAAACTTATATAATTATATCAACATTGAGTTAAGTAATAAATAATCCTCCCCAAACAAAAAAGTATGGTTTCCTTTTATCCTTCTTCCAAAATTTGTAGAAATATCCAATAATTCCCCAAAATTGCTATCATTATTACTAACATATTCCTCATGCTTCACAGAAACATTTTTAATTATTTAGACTTGACTCTAAGTTTGCTGACTTCTTTGCTTACCATTGTTTCTTGTATCCTCTCCTCCTCCTAGTCCTCCTGAAGGAATTTCTTTCAAAAAAAAAAATTTGAGTCTTTGCATTCCTAAAATGTTT